AGTAGGGGGAGTGGGAGAGGGAGAAGCAGGCTTCCCGCTGAGCAGGGAGCCCGATGTGGGACTCGATCCCAGGACCCTGGGACCATGACCTGAGCTGAAGGCAGACGCTTAGCAACTGAGCCACCCAGGCACCCTTAAACATGTATTTTATATGAATTCTTAGCTCTTTATCGATGTTAAAAATAGGTATTTATTGTTTCACTGATTATAATTAAAACAAGTACTTATTAAAGAAAATCTATAAAATGCAGAAAAATGTAAAAGATAATATACTTTTAAAAATACCTGATGTAGAAATAACCACTCTTAATATTTTGTTTTATTTCTATCCAGTCTTTTCTCCATGTATGTGTGTGTGTATTTTTCTTTTTACATAGTTGAGCCAGAGTTTTCTTTGATTCAGGTTTGATTTTTTTTTCGGGGGGGGGGACAAGAATACTTCCTAAGAAGTATTACGTACTTCCTTCCTTCAGGGGGCACAGAATGTCTGAATGACTCTCCTTTTCCTATGCAAGACATTACTCATCGCCACTGATGATGATCATCTACATTTATTTTTTTATCGGTGGCTCATTTTCTCTTCATTTGGGATAATCGGTTATGAGGGCGATGCTGGTTTGGAGCCACCAATGGACATTTTGTAGCCATGTGAAGAGAGCTGGCCTGAGAGTAAAGTGCAAATAGACTCATGCTCTCCGAGCATCATTTGAATCCTGGATCCAGCTGTGCCTGAATTTAGATATAATACTGAGACTTGCAGTATGTAAATAGGATTTTTTTGGCGGGGGGTGCTTTGCTTAATCTAATTTTATCTGGGTTCCTCTCTCGTGCCACTGAAAGAGTTTGGACTAGTACAACATATAATCACATTGGAAAGAATTACAATCTTTATAGCATTATTTCTTTTCATCCAGAACCAATGTAAACATCTTAATTTGTTTAAATCATGTTTTAGATCTCTTGGTAGAACTTTGCAGTTTTCTTTATAGAAGTTTCCTGCTTCTTCTTACAGATATTCTGGGTATATTTTTGATATTAATAGGAATGAATTATTTTATTGTTAGAGTATATAACTGATTATTGCTCTTATATAAGAAATAGGTATCTTTTGTATATTTATTTTATGGCCTTGCCACCTTATGTATTAAGTATAATCCCTTTTTGGTTTGTTTTCCAGGGCTTTTTAGTTAGAAAAGATAGCATCTATAATTACAAACTCATTTATAAATATAATTATAAATCCATAAATCTCATTTATCAGTTCTCTATCTTATAAATGGCATCCTGAACTTCCAGAATAATTTGACAGAATCATGGTGAGAGGCTATTTATTGCTGATTTGCATAATCACATGTTGGCGCTTGCCCTTGGGTAGGATTTTGTTCTGCATCTATTTTCTGTAAACTTCTGTACCTTCCTTGTTGCTGCTCTCAGTTTGTCTTCCTCACAAGTGAGGCCAACCCCTAGCCTAATCTATTGCTTCTACCTCTCTGGGAGCTTGTGAACAGGATAATCGAGCTATTTAGAATCATTCCAGAATTATACTTTTTCACCTGCAAAAGGAGCATAATGAGTATCCGTCTGAATAGTTATGCAATGATTCAATTAATTAAGGCATATAGAGTTCTTCGAATCATATCTGGCATCTATTATATAGAGAGAAACAGACCCTGATTGGACTGAATGAGTCTCCTTTGCACAACAGAGAAAACTGTAATATAATAGCAATTTTAATTTTGGCTACATGGTTTCTGATGGCTTCTGAAGAGTTGAATTTTCTACATAAGTGAAATATCATAAGGGCATTTCCTACACAGGCGGGACTATTCATTCACCTGAATCCCTCCAGACTCTTCAGAAATGCCCATTTCAATGACATTATCTCCTCAATTAGAGTACTTTTTCGCTCGGCAAAAATGACTGTAATTGAAAAAATAACGAGTTAGTGATCAAGTGCTATAGTTCCTATGTATTTCAATTGGTTAGAACCTGTTTTAAGTTTTTAAAATATGTATTTGTTTGCTTGTTTGTTTCTAGGCAGAGCAACTGACAGCCTTCAGAAGGCCAATGCCATTCTCACATAAGAGAGAGAGATGGTGATTTTTCTCAAAGAGCAGATACAGTCCAGGCATTTAGTAACCTTGACTTAAGACAGTCACTGATAGAACCAGGCGTCCACCCAAAAAGGCACTGACCTGGCAAAGGAACGTGACTTTGCTCTGGCCTGTCCCAGAAATCAACGCGATCACCTTTCTCTCCTTTTCGTCAGAAACTGGAATGGAAACATGACCCCAGAGCACTTGGATCTCAGGCTTAGGGAATTCAAGGAAAGAGGGCAGGCAGAATAAGCAGGATGCCCCACCCTACAATCAGCCCAAATCCCAGAAATGCAACAGGGCTTGAGTCTCCACTATGTTGTCTGGTTTTGGTGGTGGTGGTGTTTTTTTAAATTTGTGCTTCTGGGAAATTGAGGATGCTTAAGGAATTTTGAGCTAATAGTACAGAAAGCATCTGGGTGAAGTGTAAGTGGGGAAGGGTGCTATATACAGACAGAGTCAAGATAACTGTTCAAGACCAATTGTGGAGGGAATGAAAAGATCTTCGACAAATGTTTATAAGGCTAAAGTGACTCAAACTCTTTCCTACCCATTTGCCAAACAGGCAAATAAAGTCTTATGAAAGAATTGTTTTTGAGGCTTGCTCCTTTTTCATTGGTTTCAAGTGACCAAGATTAATATCCGTTTGCATTTAAATATGTCTTGTATTTTTCTGGAGCTAAACACCATGGAAACCGGGAGCAGAATCAGGTCCTTGAAAAGATAATCTTCTTTCTTTTAGGCCCTACACTGCATGTTTACCATTCCAAAAAAGAAAGAACCATCCAGTTTTTTAGTAAGTTTCAAGGAAATACTATTTTACAAATTATAATTCATGAAAATTCATTTTCAAAAAGAAAATAGAAAGACATACCAAGTTTTCTTTCACATAAGCAGTTACTCAGCCTGGCACTGGATTTTTGCAGGATTGGAGTAGAATTTTCTCACTTAGGACTCTTTAAACTGCTTACAGTTCACTCTCTACGTTCTTTATAGGGAAAAACTATAATTATAAAAGTATGAGTCTCTTTTTCTACCTCACAGTGAAATTTAGACTGAATTTACATATTCGCAGTACTGAACACTTTCATTGCTAAGCTATTTTAAAAAATAATTCCGTGCAAGTAATATTTATTGAAAACCTACATTGTATTAATCATGATACTAAGTGTTGGGAATTCGAAATGACTAAGGCATTTTCCTTGACACCCAGTGTGCTTTCCCAGGAGAAGAGACAGATAGATACACACATACACACAGGTACATATAAAAATTTTGTATAGAGGGATGCCTGGGTGCCGCAGTCGGTTGAGCATCCGACTCTTGGTTTTGGCTCAGGTTGTGATCTCAGGGTCGTGAGATCGAGCCCCGTGTCAGGCTCCAGGCTCAGTGGGGAGTCTGCTTGGGTTTCTCTCCCTCTCCCTCTCCCCCTCCCCCCAGTCGTGCTCTCTCTCTCTCAAATAAATAAATCTTTAAAAAACTTTGTGTAGACAAATAAACCTTCAATGCATATTAACTCTGTTAAGTCATCCATATGTTATCTGGTGATTAAGATATTTAGATATCTCCTTAATCATTTTTTACAGTCCCACTTATACTGAAAAAATTAGATGAGAATATTAACAGTAGTTATGTCTCCATGATAGCCTCAGAATTTGCTTTGCTTTTGTGTTTCTTGCTTTATTACAATGAGTGTATTATTTTATAGTAAAAAAGCACAGGAAACACATTCAGGTTATGGAAATGGCAGTTTGATGAGCCAAAAGTCTACATTTCAGAAAAACTTTTAAAGAAGTATATTTTGAAGTCAGCACATTAATTGGAATAGAGTTGCTAAAGGGTCATTTTGAAGAAGTTTGAAGTGGACACCTTTCCATAAAAACGCAAACAGCAATATAGAAAAGCTGTTGTCAAAAGCCACGTCTTTTCTATTCACTTAAGGAATGTTTGCAAATCTTTTTTTTTTTTTTTTTTTAGAAGCTGGACTCTTATTTTTTAAAGGAAGCCTTGCTAGTAATATCGACGCATAAAAAAGATAAAAGTGGCTGGGCTCTGTTTGAAGGGAGGCTTGGGGACAGACCCAGCCCAACAGATCTTGGCCTCCAGGCTCACATCTGAGGACCCTTGGGTGCTGGGCAGCCTGAACACCATCGAGTTGATTTTTGTCCCCCACAATCTTGTTTAGCCCAGTACTCTCTGAAGCACACACTCAGATCTATAAGCTTTCTTCGCAAAGGAAATTTAAGCCCAGAGTCTGAGCAAACAAACAAAGCATTGAACTTGGGTGCTTAAATCCATGAAGCTTGAATAAATGAGAGTCTCTCATACTCGATCACTGCCAGACAAGTCTGCTTACCATGTTTTTCTAGATGCTGACAGCAGCTGTCCACCAGCCTGGGGACCTGTCTGTAAATGGGATTCAGACTGAGTTTCTTATCTCTGGCTTTTTCTTTTTTACTCTGAGCCTCAGCAGGCAAGGAGAGTTGTAATGCTTCTAGCAGTCGAGACTGATTGTCATCAAGATCTGTGATAGAATCCACTGACATCGCGCCCTGCAAATCATACACAGACGTGAACAAAGAGCGTGGATGGAGAAAACAAGAGCAAGTTCCCTCACACGCTAGCCAATAACGCTTTTGCCCAGGACTGTGTGTCACCCTTGAAATAACGCCACTTCATTCAATCACACTGTTCGTACATTAAAAGGAAAACGGCCAACACCTCTTGAAAAAGTGAGGAAACTACCACAACAAGCTAAGGGAATGGCAGTTACAATTTCCACAAACAACATTCGCCAGTGGAAGACGAGAGAGGGCGGACATCGAGTTGTAATATTTTGACCCAACCACTTCATTTGTTGAAACAAGAAAAAAATCACATACATGCTCGATGAATGAGGTAAAGTCAGAGAAGCCTCGCAAATAAAAACCAAGCATCTCAACTATGACTCTAGGAAGCAGATTTTTAACATTGGATTCCATGGAATAGTCTTAGTTGGGTTTCCCCCAGAACTGGCACAAAGAACTTTATCAGGGACATGGTCCCGGGAGACGGCTGTAGGGGGTGGGGGAACGAGAAAAGGAAGGGAGGGCAGCGGATGAAGAGCATCACCCAGCCTATGACAAGCCCGTGGGCAGCTGGTGCCCAAGCACCCTGGGGACCTCTGGGAGACAGTGTGGGTCAAGCACCTCAGAGCTAACTGTGCTGGGGAGCAAGTGTACTGGGCTATTTATATCACAAGCCTCAAGAGTCATTGATTAAGGGCAACTTCTGGTAGGGGCCAGGAGGTGACGTTCAATGTCTCGGCACTTGCAGCCTATCACCTGCGTGGGTGGGTGCCTCTGGCCATCAGAGAAAGCCCTTGGCAGGGGTGAGGTGCTGGCAGGTGGAAGGAGGGCTCTGGCATGCTGGGACTGGGAAAGGCCGAGTGGAAGGGAGCAGGGCACCGGCCGTGTCTACACGGCCAAGCCCCCCCACCGCCCGCCCCCGATGAAGCGGAGAGGAAGGGGCTCGCTGCTGGTATCCTAGCAAGGCCTGGCCAGAGGAGAGGGCATCTGGGAGGCCCGCTGCCTGGGCCCCAGATTCCCAGAGAGCTCAGATGTGGAGTTTGGGTGTTACAGCCTTAGGACACGCAGTCTGAGAGATGATGATAAGACTGCAAGAACAGTTCCATCACATACATTTAAATATCCTGGAAAGTCATCATTTCTCCACTTTTAAACACAGCCAAAGCCTTGAAAAACAGCGGCGGCTCAGGTGCCCCTTTATCTTGGAGAGGTCTCGAATGTGGATTTTAAGTGGGAAGTGTTTGGGGTTTTTTTTGGGGGGGGTTTTCAGTAGGGCAGTAGTGAGTGGCTGGAGGTGGCAAAGATTTGGGGGTCTCCAGGCAAGAGGAAAAGGAGAGAAGATCTCCCAGTGACTTAGGAAATTTTTAGAGATGCTTATCAACTGACTCAGCCGATCACCAACCAGTTTGCCTGAGAACTCAGCTTTCCTGGATTGAAACAGGGAATCTGAAATAAGAAATAACACAGTGCCTAGAACATAGCACTCACTTAATACATGGTACTGTGCTCTTAGAGTATTAATTTGAAAGAGGACATACGTGCCCTTTCTCTCTCTCTCTCTCTCTCTGTATATGATGTATGATATATCAAATATATGATATATGATATACAATATATATGTAGGTTTCTTGTGGAAAAAAAAGCTCCATTGATTAAAAAAAAAAAAACAAAAACTCATCACTTACGAGGACTGGCAGCCAGGTGGCTGGGGGGCCAGGCGTGGTTCTTGGACTAGAGATGAAGAGAGTAACAAAACCACCCGGCCCTGGCCTCCAGCCTCACAGTCTCGAGGGCAAGTCTGGTGGTAAGACAGAAGATGAAGCTAGAGCACGGTCAACAGTGATGTTGTAGAATGTTCAGGACATCATGGGGCACACACATGGGGAACCAAGGGGGGCACCCAGCAGCTCTGAGAGCGGCCGGAAAAAGGCTTTGAGGCTGTGTCATGTGCCCCACGGCCCGGGGCACGCTGTCCCCGAATGGGGTCACTGACAGGTCCCTAGACTCCATTTCCAGTTTTCCCAAGAGCAGAGGTTCAGAGAATAACCCTGTAATGCTTCGGTTGTTTTAGCGGTGGTGTCAGAGAAAATACTGGCCAACTCACCCTCCTCCTGGCCCGAGGAGCCGGTTCTGGGGTGTTCGGGGACGTTGACTCATTTGGCGTTTCCGAGGTGGAGCTGAGAGATGAGTTACTGCTTGAGAGTTCTTTGTTTTGTCTTTTACTTCCAAACGGGAGGAGGGAAGCCACAAAATCAGACGCATCCTTCTGCTCGTCCCTCTGCGAGTCCTGCTTGAGTTTATAGGCCCGGTCATTTGCAATGACTTGGGATAAGGGCATTCCAAATGCCTGGGGGATGAATTCTGCAATCAAAAAAACAAACACTCACTTTCAGACATGACTGGGCCGGTGAAGGCTCTCACTCACGCTTCAGACCCAAGGGCAGACGTAGTCAAATGACCGTTTCCTGAAGAATTGATTCTTCAATCAAAATACAGGGATGACTTCTGTGTGTATCAGAGTGGCCAAAGTTTCTATTTCTATCAAGTAGGCCAGTATGTACAAAGAACGTGGGTTTTTAGAAATCTAGGCCTCTCGTTTTTTCCCCCACATATCTCAAGTATGTTTTAAAGGAAATAGCTTTATGGATAAATGTGACATTTTTGATAGACTGTACACAATGCTTCATCCTCACAAGGACACAATTTTATAAACTGTTAGTCTTTGAGGTATGTGTCTCAAGAGCTCCCAGAACTTACAAGGCGTGAGAAGGCTGCGTGCATCCGTTTATTCCACAGGGACTCACTGAACAGCTACCACGATGGGAGTACAAAGCTTACAAGAGGCGTAGTGCTCGCTCTTGAAAGGTCCGGAGTAAGGGGCGGGTGGGGGAGTGGGAGTCAGATAGGTAAATAATTACACAGGTGGCTGTCGGGTGTTACAATGGAGAGATGCCTGGAGCAAAGACCTAAGTTCAGTTAAGTGGATCCACTTTGGGGTTCCCAGTAAAAGAGCCAGTACGTGAGTGAGGACCCGAGAGGCAGGGGAGCAGCTCGGGGGGAGTCTGCTTCCCCCCCCCCCCGTGTTCCTTGTCCCCCACAGGCTGCCTCCAGTTGCTGGGCTGGGGATGTTGCTCTCACGATCTATACTCAAGCCATTCTGCCGGCCCATGTAGAAGTAGACTCTCACCACTAAATAACCAGTGAAGGGCCCAAGATACAATGTGTTAAATCCCCTAGTAAGGACAATTTGGGGCAAGGAGCACAGTGCAGAAATCTACCTCTTTATTTGGAGATGGACACACAGTTGCTTTCTGAATCGCTGATCCATATGTATGCACCTACATTGTAAGCACACTGAACCTTAGGGCCAGGCATCTTTTGGGCACTATTTTAGATTTATGCTGAAAAGCATTCATAATTAGATTAAATGCATTATTTCTTTTAGACTCAAAATTACATCTCCTAGCCGCAGAATATGGGAGTCTAGCCTCTCCCTTGTTTTTATAACCCCTATGAATAAAACCAGAATGATCAAGGGAAAACAATTCTAAGGGTTGTTTGTTCTTTGAAAGAAAAGGCTAACTTTAAGTCAGGTGGAAAGAGGCTTTAAAAGGCTTTCTTCCTTGATCCATGGCAACATTTTAACATCACTGGGCTGATGGCCAAGGCTACATTAAAAGCAGAAATGGCATTTAAGAAGCCTGCACCTTTGGTCCCATCAAAACATGCAGTCTGTTTTGAAGCGAAAAATCAAAACGTCAGCATTTTGGGATTTTCGGAGGATGCTTACCATTCTCGATCGACAAACTAGGTGGCATACGATAATAATACAAACAAAACTTTTGGCATGTTTTTGAGTGATCAATGTAGCCAGCGTAGCAGGACCCAAGACTCACTATTGACAGAAGGCCATCTTCACTACTAGCACAGTTAGACTACCAGACCGCGAGCCATGCACCCTGGGGTGTATGGTGTAAATCAGCACTGTCTTGTCTATGGGAATAATCAAAGAGTCTTGCTTCAGAAAACCCGCGGCGAGTCTAGAGACCTGCAGATGCCAAGGCTGACAGCTATGGGGAATACACAAAAACCGTGGGCGGGGGGGGATAACAACAGCAGAAAGGACAGCAATAAATGTATCGAGCGGCATGTGTCTGCTCACTTAGGCACGCTCTCTGCAGGGATTTCGTAGGAGATGGGGACTACTGACTCCTCTCTTAGCCAGTTTTGCCACGTAAGGAAAACCAATCGGACTCATTTAGAGTTTCTAATATCCCTAGAAAAAAGAAGAAAACTGGTTCCCTTTGGTATCTGTCATTTTCAGTGTCCCAAAGTCTGCCACTTTCCTTGCAAACTGGAATAACGGAACACAAATTAAACAGATGGGATACATGAAGTCATTCTTCCCAGTTTTTCTTTCTCTTTGACTCTCACTCAAGAGATGACCTGCTAACAGATTTTTATTTTTCCCTAATAGTCTTTCTTTCCTGGTGGAGTTTATTTATTCTTTCAGTGATAGAGTTTCGATGTGGTCTCTTGTTTCTTGTTGCTTTCTCTTGAGAACCTTTACAGGCTTCAGAAAGGAGGCCTCTCTATGCCCTAAACTTGTGTTGCAGTGTCTAGACTCTGGAAAATTCTAGGCAGGATTCCTTGAATATGACTGCTTCTCAAAATGTGGCTATTATGAAATGGAGAACTCATCACAAGTCTATTTAGCAAAACCCTCCTCATGTGTAAATAAAATGTTGGGCACACATGCTTATCTGTGGATTCAAAGCTCTTCTCTCGGGGAAAAAACCCTGGAGACTCTGTGTTGATAGGGCGAATACAGTTGATAATAGGTTTTTAAAACCAGATGGACATTTCCCAAGGCTCAGTGTTCTGGGGCCAGGCACAGGGTGTATCATGTTCTAATCTACAGTATGTGTTCACCAAGGAGACTGCTTCCCCTGCTGTGCTCATTAGTAGCAAGTGTGTGCTCTCCCAGCCCATGAACTGTGGGGCCAGGAGGTGGCATGCCATCCTCTGGCTCCCTACCACCACTTCCAGATCTGCACCTTCCCACTGTGTGGCAGAAACCCGCCATCACAAGGTTTCTCTTGTCTCCTGCCCATTGCTCTCTTCTCTTGGCACTGACTGACCCGTGGTCAGACCCCCAAGCTACCGTCACACTTGGAGGCCTGGATGTCTACCTAAAGGCCCATCTCATTCTCCATCCTCCCATCTCCTTGACGGTCTCCTCTCCTCTTTTTTCCTGCATGCCACCTTTTCCACTCACTCCCTTGGTCCCATCCTGGAGCCTTGTCCTCCCCAAAAGGGATTCCACCTCGAGAATCAGGCTTCCTCCCTCCACTCTTGTCTTATTCTCCCTCCCAAGTTCACGTTCCACACAGCAGTGTGGCGATCTGTTGAAACACACCATTAAGATGCGCCCTCCTTAATGCACCTTGATGGTGTCTCAATGTTCTCAGCATGCAGACCAAACACCATGCGGGGCGCACACAGCCCTGTGTGAGGTGGCCCCTTCCTATTCTCTCCCGGGATCACGCTCCCCCGGGTTCTCTTCTTTCCAGTAACAGCACTCAAAGACAGCATTCGATACATTCTCCTTGAGAATGTCTACATAGTGATAGCTGATACTTGATTTTATTACTGCTATTTATTATGATGCAAAATAAAGTTGTATCAACTATTCCTATCAAGTGCTACGTCATACCTGGCGTGTAGGAACATACTCGGACACTGAGGAACAATAAGACATGGCATGATACTATTTCAGCCTAAAGAACGGTGCCAGACCCGAATTATCCCCAGATTTCATGTCAATAAATATACGGCGTAGTCTGAAATACCCTGTGAAGCGGGGACCTATCTCCCAGACGTATGCCACAGTAAAACCTATGCCCCCCTGTGCTCTGACCAGGAACCACATGAACTGGAACAAAGTAGCTATTTGAAAATCTTTTCCCCACAAGTGATTTCTTTTTGACCCACGAAAGAAATTTGCTGAAGTTCTGAAAGTTTAAAAACTGTTTTTTTGGTTGCCAAGTAATTTAACTAAGAGAAATTAAAGACTTGGAACTCTTCTGGATGAAAATATGTTTTCCCACCCAGCCTCCATCTTGAATTCGTTTCCATATGGAATTCAAGAGTCGTATGGGCACTGGCTGAAGTGGCAGGAGGGACACAGGAGTGTCACATGATCTGCCGTGTTTGATGTCAAGGCAATTAAATAAAATACAGGACATGATTCACTCTGATTGAATCAATTAATCCAGCAGCATATCAAACACTTAATGAATCACTCTTTATTGGGAGAGCAATTGGGTTCTAAAAAGCTGCTCCTATTTATTTTTAGATGACCTAACCCAAGAGGTCACTGAGAGCTTCCTGTTTTCCTTCTTTTACTTTTGGACTCCAATGATTATCATTTTCCACATGTGCAGCTGTTAGGAACCCCAATGTTAATATTCAAATGGAAGAAAATAATGTGAACCATTACGACTCAGCAAGACCCGCATGCTGGCCCCTCCTGCCCTGCTTGCCAGGGCGGCCACGTAATGGATGTGTGCACATAGACAGGACTTTCTGTTCAGAAGATGTGCCAGGTAATTAAGCTTCACTTAAGCCCAGGACATCTTCTTTTTAAATATCAGAGCTTCTTTAAAAGAGGAATTAAAAAACCCCTCTTTTGCCATGAAGCCTGATATTTTTCTCTAATTTAGTTGGATGGGCCATGTGTCTTTTCTCTGGACCACCAGAACCTGCCTTCCTTTTTCCCAGCCAGCAACGTGTACAGCCTTATAGAACACTGCCAGGTTCTCCCTGAGCTTATGTCAGATGTAAATACGATATGGTCCGAAAAGTGTATAATAGCCCAGGACACATTGGTCAATGACATCCCCTGGCCTTCCTTTTCTGCTCATTCACATCCTTGCTTCCTGTTGTTCTGTAACCTGAGCAAGCACACATCCATCTCTCTCTGCTGAGGGAACTCAATCATCTCCTGCAAAAATGGTCATTCTGTTTCGTCTAGCCTGAACGGGCAATTCTGAGGAATCGCTGAAAGTCTCCATTATAAGGATTCAGTCCTCAGATCAGTATCATCATCCTAGAGTAAACCAACTTTAAAGATACACATTACTAATGCCAGTCTGAGTGTCCCCTTTAATACTCTCTATAAACACTAAGAATTTCTCTAATCTAGTGAGGTAAAGGTGATGGATGGCAGGAATAGAATGAGTAAGACTCTAGTTTAAAAAAGCTACCCTGGTTACTAACATTCACTTAAAAAGAAGGGTAAGAACATACGGACCAATTAAATAGAATACAATTTATCAGACAGTGATAGGTAGCTGGACAAGAGTTATACCCCTGAAACAAATAATACATTATTTGTTAATAAAAAAATTTTTTTTAAATTAAAAAAAAAAAAAAAGACTTAATGCCCCTTGCCTCGATTATTCCAGCGTGGAATTCGGCTGTGATAGGATGTGCCCTGCTGGTGAGGACATTGGCTAATATGGACCAAGTTCTCATCTCAGAAGCTGCACATCAGTACTTCAGAAAACTACTCACGTCCAGTACCCCCTACAGACCAATGGCATCACACTTTCGGGGTTGGGGGGTCTGGGCACTGGGAATTTTAAAGGTTCTACAACTTACTCTAACTGTGCAGTGAGAGGCAGGGATCATTCCCATTCTCAACTCCTTTCTCCAGTCTGAGGTAAACATTCGAAATGTCTGGAGATATTCTGGCTGGGGGCGGTGCTACTGGGCCAGAGATGCCACTAAATATGTCACACGATGAACAGGACAGCCTCCGTAACAAAGAATTATCCAGTCTGAGGGTGCCTGGGCGGCTCAGTCGGTTAAGCGGCCGACTCTTGATTTCGGCTCAGGTCATGATCTCGGGGTCCTGGAATGGAGCCCCATGTGGGGCTCCACGCTCGGTGGGGAGTCCGCTTGAGGATTTTCTCTCCCTCTCCCTCTGCCCCCTTCCCACTCATTCTCTCTGTCTATGTCTCTCTAATGAATACATAAATCTTTTTTTTTTTTTTTTAAAGAATTATCCAGGGGCACCTGAGTGGCTCAGTTGTTAAGCGTCTGCCTTTGGCTCGGGTCATGGTCCCAGGGTCCTGGGATCGAGCCCCGTATTGGGCTCCCTGCTCATCGGGGAGCCTGCTTCTCCCTCCCCCATTCCCCCTGCTTGTGTTCTGCCCCTCTCTGTCAAATAAATAAATAAAATTTTAAAAAAATAAAATAAAAAAGAATTATCCAGTCTAAAATGTCAACAGACCCAGGTTGAGAAATCATGCTCTAAGGGAAGTAAAACGTTGGCTCCCCACTCTTCAGAATTCTTTATCTCAAGGGCGCCTGGGTGGCTCAGTCATTGAGTGTCTGCTTTCAGCTCAGGTCATGATCCCAGGGTCCTGGGATCAAGCCCCGCATCGGGCTCCCTGCTCGGCGGGAAGCCTGCTTCTCCCTCTGATCCTCCCCCTCTCATGCTCTCTGTCTCCCATTCTCTCTCTCAGATAAATAAATAAAAAATCTTTAAAAAGAAAAAGAAA